CTCTTCTCTTCTCTTCTCTTCTCTTCTCTTCTCTTCTCTTCTCTTCTCTTCTCTTCTCTTCTCTTCTCTTCTCTTCTCTTCTCTTCTCTTCTCTTCTCTCCTCCCCATCCACCTGTGTCAGTCCCTACTGCTAAGGTTACAGGTATGGGCTGCCACACCCCACTTATTACATGGATGCTGGGGATCCGAACTCAGGCCATCATATTTGCTGTGATGGGTAATCTTGGTTGTCAACTTGACATACTTGGAAAGAAGGACCCTCGGCTGAGGAATTCCCTCCATCAGACTGATCTGTGGGGGATTTTCTTTACTGTAAATTAATGGAAAGTGTACTCGAGCTGTATAAGAAAAGTAGCTGAGGAAGCCAGGGGAAGCAGGCCAGCAAGCAGCATTCCTTCATAGTCTGTTTCAATTCCTACCTCTAGTTTTCTGCCTTGGTTTCCCCCAATGATGGGCTGTAACTTCTAAGTCAAATAAGCCATTTTCTTCCCATGTTGCTTTTGGTCATGGAATTAAACTAGAACACTTGCACAGCGATGATCTTAGCCAGCTCCGTAGCCCTTTGAGTTATACTTTCAATGAAGAATAGTATTATGTATCTCTCAATATATTTGTATTAATCACCTACTGTGTGTCAGGGAAATCAGCGTATTCCCAAGAATCCTGTGATGTGGCTCCATTTTTCCCATCTTACAAGCAAGGAGACTGAGACTGAGAATGGTGCAAGCAGACTAGCTAAGGTCACAGACTGTGGGTAGTGGAAGAGATTAAGAAGCTGAAGGTGAACTGTCACAAAACCATGAACATAGAAGGAATGGACACTTCACAGGCGGGGGCTGGCCTTGTTGCGAACCCTGAGGTAATGGCATCATTTCTATTTTGATGTTCCTGTTTAACTCTTATCCTTTTGCTGAGGGGCCTGGCAGAATGGCAAATGTCACTCTTGAGCAGGCACCTAAGTGATAAATCACAGGCGGCACTTGGATTCTTTCTCTGCTCAGGGAAGGAGGCACAGCTTTGCCTGGTTTCACTGTAGCAGCTGGCTATGGAGAACTAGCAGGAACCTACTGATTTCTTTGGTAATAAAAGCTTCTTAAGCACTGTGGTAGTTACTTAGGTGGAAGATGAAAAGCATGCACCTGATTCTTTAGCAGCTTTAGAAATATCTGAGGGAAAAGTGTTCAGCTGCCAGGTAAAGCTGCCTGGCAATGTGATTCTGAGGTGCCGAGCCCTCGCAGGGCTGCTGAAATACAGACAAGGGCATACAGATTACTCACACTCATAGTCTGTTTCAGAACATTCCATTTGTGCACGTATTTTAAAAAAAACAAGGTAAATGTCCTTCTAAAGGCCATCAAAGATGTGAATTCTGTACGAATTCCTTGCAAATACATCTCTTTAGGATAGTTCCTTGAAAAAAAAAATCTCTTTGTTGATTTTTCTATGTACTTGCCCATATCAGCTGTATCATTGCTTCCAAAACATTTATACTCCAAGTTCTCTTTATCTTTTCTTAGCTGCAGAGCTCTGGCTTTAGAGCTCGGTCTGTTCCTTGAGGGCCCCATGGCTGGGCACAAAGTCCCATACCTTCTTTAAGGCCATTTCCTCATCTATAACATGGAGTTGCTAGTGTTTTCTTTTTAGGACTGCTGTGACCGTTGAAAGAGTTCATGTTTAGGCAAATGCTTCATAAATTGAATGAAGCCCTTTTTAAAGAACGATTATTATGATTATTATTATTCTTTATATCTGTGGACTAACTTCATCTGGTGCTCGTTAAGGAGTCCTGATGGCTTAACAGCATCCTGAAAGTCCAAAATTAAGTTACAGTGAGATGACGGAAACAGGGCACATGAGTGACAGCTTGGTGAAGAGAACAGAGGGAGGTGGGCGGGTTTTAGAGCAAGAACCCAGGGACAGAACACGGCTAAAGACTTCCTATGAGAGGCAACACCTTTCTGTGAGAGACCCTTTGAGTCTCCAGTGGTTGCTGTGTGACATTTTGTAGTCACTGAGAGAGTTGGATGAGGGAATGTCCGTCTGTCTGCTTTTTGTCAGATCTCTCTGCAAAAGGTGATGGATGTCTTTCTCTAAAGGTTATTAAGACCAAATGGGGACAGCATATCCTCTATACCTCATTAAACATCTCATCCCTCTTTAAAATTCTTGCTCAGACAGGAGCTCTGTCTAGACAGTCACTATCAATATGGCTAGAAGCTATGTGCTTCTTGGAGCATTCAGGCAAGGCTGAAAGGCAATCGGAGAATCCTAGTAAATACTCCAGGATTACGGAGAATTGCTGCGTGGACCTGTCCCTACAGCCTGACTGTATGCAGCCACTTCCATTATCATTAGGTGTAGGGAGAGTTGTAGCTGTTCAATATGTGGAAAGGCTGGAAAAGGAGGTTCTGAGATGAAGCAAGGAGGTGTCAGCATAGCGGAGAGCTTTACAGGGATTAGCCTGGGAGTCATTAGAGATAAGGATCCTGAGTTGGGGACTGGAGAAAGAACATCATCAGCTTAAGCTGAACACTCCATCCCTTCTGAGGATGAACACTCTGATGGAGTGTTCAACTGTAGAGGCAGTTGGGCCTTGCTATTGTTATTTTATCTATCTATCTGTCTATCTATCTATCTATCTATCTATCTATCCATCCATCCATCCATCTATCCATCCATCCATCTATCTATTTTGCTTTTTGAGACAGGGTTTCTCTGGTCTTTGGAGGCTGTCCTGGAACTAGCTCTTGTAGACCAGGCTGGTCTCGAACTCACAGAGATCCACCTGCCTCTGCCTCCCGAGTGCTAGGATTAAAGGCACACACCACCACTGCCCCGCCTTGCTGTTGTTTTTTAAGACAATGTTTATTGTTTATTATCTACTGTTTGGAAACATGCTGAGCAAACAACTAGTGCTGGGGTGGGGATGATAGAATTAAAAATCTGAATTACATTATCATTTAAGAGTTGTTCATTTAATGCCATCTAAGCAAGGTATTGCAGCCAAAAAGTCTAATCTATCAAATATAAGATTCATGTAAATGAGCAAGTGCAGTGGAAGTCATCAGAAAAAAAAAGCTTTTATCCCAAATTGTTCATTTTACGATTAATGAGATCTGTTTGTCTTCCCTGGTGAGCATGGAGAATGTGGACAGAGCAGGCCTTCTGTAGACTCTGACACCCTTTCTGCCCAGCCCTTTCCCACAGTTCTCAGTTTAGTGAGGTCCTGGATGGTCCTTATATTTTAAAGAGGAGTAGGTTTTAAATCATTGTCATGATTAAGACACAAGACATTCCATCTTTTTGGGGTTGGGGAGAGGGCTTAGTGGATAAACTGTTGTTGCACTCATTGTCATGATTAAGACACAAGACATTCCATCTTTTTGGGGTTGGGGATAAAGTGTTGTTGCATAAGCATGAGGATCTGAGTTCAAGTCCCCAACATCTACAGGACATTATGGAACACACTTGTCATCCCAGCAGCTTGCTGGTCAGTAACCCAGTGAGACATCCTGACTCATAAGTTCTGTTAGACAAGCCAGTAAGCAGCACTATCCATGGTTTCTACATCAGCTCCTGACCTGCTTGAGTTCTTATCCTGACTTCCTTTGGTGATGAACAATGTTGTGGAAGTGTAAGCCAATTAAACCCTTTCCTCTTCAGGTTGTTTTGGTCATGGTGTTTTGGTCATGGTGTTTCATCAAAACAACAGAAACATTGACCAAGAAAGAGGGGGTGGAAAGATTGCAAGAGTCAGACCCTGGGGAGAATTGGAGTTAAACAGTGTCTTCTGTATACGATAGGATTGTGTGTTCATGAGCATACAGTAGCTGTGATTTCCTTTGGGGAGCTGAGGAATCCCAGGCTGAATATATGAAGAGCAGATGAAGTACTGAGTGAATGTGTACTGTTGACATGAACACACCCATGTCAAGGACCAATTCCTCAGACCCATGAAAAATTGCTAAAGCCTTATCCATATAAGTCAGGCTTAGAATGGCAAAGCTTTATGGTGGTACAAGTTGGAGTGTTTACAAATGATTGATCAGTGTGTGCAAAAACTAGCAATGGTAGCTTCCTGCTCCTGAATATTTACAGCCTGAGATGGCTCACCTACAGAAACCTCCTATCAAGACCAGCTGACTTCTCCCACTGTGCAGCTCATGATTGACATGTTAAGGTTTCAGGCTGTTGTGGCAACTAAAGCAGCTCCTTCAGAACATGTATAACCTTCCTGATCGATTCTTTCTGTATGTGTGTCTGTCCTTTCTCCATTCCCACACCGTCCCCAATCAGGTTCCAAGACCAAGACATATTGAACACAGCAGCTGATGTACAAGAGTACACAAGATCAAGCCAGTCAGCTTTCTAGCATGGAATGGGAAAGGATATATGAGCCCACACCTCTAAATGAGGAGCTGTGGGCAGTCCGTGGTTTCTGTGAGAGGGAGATCCTGTTTTGTATAAAAGGTGTGGCTTCTGCCAGTCTGACTATGCTTCATTGGGGGTCCCCACACCCAGGTCAGCACACTTTGGAGCCCATGGCTTATTTAAAAAAAGAACAACAAAAGAGAGGACATGAAGTTCTGGGGGTTAGGGAGGAAGGGATTTATCTGGGAGGACTTGTGGGTGAGTATGATCAAAATACATTGTATGAAACTCTCAAAAAATTAACAAAAGTATTTAAAATATAAGGGAAGAGGCAACAGAGAAAGACGTGCCAACATCAACCTTTGTCTTCTATCATGCATAGGACAGCTATGTGAGAACATACCCGTGTGAGTGCACACATGCACACACACAGGAAACATGCCATCTATCTTTTGTGCATAGGTTAAAAAATAACTTTTGGCCTCCTCCCCTACTTCTTTCTCCCATGATATCTATGTTTGTGGCATTGCTAATAATCCCATGTCATATTTAAACTTTCCAGTTTTCTTCATGACCTTCAGCTCACTTTTAGGGAAGGGGATTTGAGAAGTACCCCAGAAAGGACATACCTGAGGATGCTTTGCTCTAGAACCTGGGTCTGGTGCTGGTCTTGTTGATTTTGCTTCTTCATCTCTTCCTGCTCTTTTCCACTGCCGATTCCATCCAGGAGCCATTTCTCCCTCAAGGCTTTTTTCTGATGTCAGGAAATATAAATGTATGTTCTTACATTTGCCAACAATTCCCTAAATCTCTTACTGCTTGCAAGTCTTATGAATGGCAACAGTGGACGTATTAAAGAGGGATTATTTTTTCCCACTGACTTAGCTTAATGAATCTGGCAGTATTTTCTTCTTTGTAACCTCCTTGGCCCCCCTTCTTCCTTAAAATAAACCAAATCAATATTACAATAACTACAAATAACTATTAGGATCATGTTAAAACCTGTCAAAGTGAGGAGATGTGAAGGTTACAGACGGATGCCGCAGAACCTGGGTTATATACCACTGGATGAAGGAAGAGCACTACATCATGTTTTGTTGACTCAGAATTTGCAGTTATTTCATCTAACTAACACACACCTCAAGAGCAATTTGTGTTAGTCTGTTCTGGGGCCAGAGAGTCTTCCCCCAGTTAATCAAGACCTTTATAATAATAGCTGGTTAGCTGTTTACAAAACTGTCTCCTCTCCAGACCCAGTGAACAATAATAATATAGGTTCATTGACTCCTGGATTTTAAGACACCAAGAAAACTGATGAGCATTTTAAGAATTTACCTGGATCTTAATTATTTTTTATTGATGGAATGTGAAGTAAAGAAGACATTTATTTCCTTGTATCTGTCAACAGTTTAAAAAAATCTCTTGTTGCCTTCAAATTTCGTGAAATGTAATAGCAGGCATAGTAAAGAAGATTTTCTCCTGCTAACCGGCCTTCATAAATTTGGTGTTTTCCTTCTGTGAAAACGCTAGACTCTGCTGAAGCTAGTTTTTAGACTTTTAAATTGTGTGTGTGTGTGTGTGTGTGTGTGTGTGTGTATGTGTGTGTGTTCTATGAGAGTGTACAAGTTGTGTGTGTATATACTTGTGCACGAGACTACACACTTGCATGCTGGTACATGTGGAGGTCAGAGGTCACTGCTGGTATCCTCCTCTCTCACTCTTTACCTTGATATTTTTCCAATCACATGGTACTTACTGTTTGTGTACAGGGCTGGTGCTCATGCCTTGTGTGCTGATGCATATGGAGGGCAGAGGACAACCTGTAGGAGCCAGTTTTCTCCCCCAACCATATGGGTCCTAGGATTGAATGTAGGTCACCAGCCTTGGCAGCAAGCAGCTTTACCCACTCAGTCATCTTGTTGGCTCTCTACCTTATTTTTGAGACAGGATTTTGCTGGACTGGTTGAAAGCAAGCCCCTGTCTCCACCTCCTCAGAGCTAGGATTACAGGTGTACACTGGTATGCTTGGATTTTTATATATGTGTGCTGGGGAATCTCAACTTAGGTCCCTGTGCTTCTATGGCAAACACTTCACCAAGTGAGTCCTCTCCTTTGCCCTTTAAATCTTTTTTACATGCAAATCCATTCTTACCCATCAGTAAATTCTGGTTTTTAGGTATCATCCATAAGGACTGTGCCACTTGCTTGCCTGTTAATCTAAGAAACACTCAGATGGCACAGTCCGAGGGTACTAAGCTAGATGAGCCAGACGCTAAACTGTGATGCTACCAGGTTAACAATTTCATGACAATGAAGTTCAGAATCAAAAGCTGTGTGGGCTGCTGATGTTGCTCACTGGAGACTGCTTGCCCAGTGTATATGAGACCCGAGGTTTAATCACCATCACCACAAAGACAGGTAATAGAACCAAAATCTTTAGTAGCTAAATGCAAAGCCAGGTGATATAATGACATATACGCCGCATTTGTCAGTTTTTATAAAACAGTCTCCTGACCGAACCAGACTTGGAATAAAAATTGGTTTTTCTTACTGTGAGTTGAATGGACTTAAAGAAAAGAAAAATTCCTACGTAGACTATAATTTGTTTTTCCTGATGAATGCTGTAACAGGTAAGGAGGTTCACAGTACATACACTTCAGAATTATTTGATAGGAATTTTAATGAATGCCCATGGAAATTTGCATGCACACTGTGGGTCAAAGCATCAGGAGCTAATGATCACAGTGAATACTCCAGCTATTGTGCTGTGCGTGTGTGGTACAGGAGGCAAAGCTTCCAAATGTCTGTGTGTGTCATTGTGGTGTAATAAACTGGCTTGCAATCAGGGAAGCAGCAAAGAGTGGTGGGAGCTGGGACAACTGGATGGAAAAGAAAATAGATAATAGAACTTTCAAAGCTTGGCGAAATAGCATAAAATCAATTTTAAAAATACTTTTGCACATTTTTGAGCCTAATTTTGGAACTGGGCCTAGTTTTTGTTGGAATAGCCAGCAATTTCTGCAAACTTGGAAGAATGTTGAAATACCCACTCTTTGCCCTGTATTTCCTCTGCAATCGTTGCCCTCAGTGTAGTGTTCATCACAGGACAAATGCCATTAAGTGTCATGTGTCAGCTATTTCACAAGACACAGGGAAAGATTTGTTATAGTTTTAGGGTCTTGTATAGTATCTCAAAGTAATAGGTGCTGTGTTCATTTATGTTCACCGAAAGGCCCTATGTGTACCTTAGTGAATTCTACTTACCGTCTAAGGCTCTATTTAAAAGCCTTTATGAATGTATTCACATCTTTATGAACGTATTTTTTGACTTGCTCAGATTTCACAGATAATGTTTACTGTCTAAATAAAAACACTACCATTTAACTTGTCTTCTTAAATTTAACCTTTAATTTCTCAAATTAGGACATGTTATTTCCTCTTTCCCCTTATCTCCACCCTTTTGGGTCCTTGAAGGAAAGTGAAGAACACCTTGGAACAGAAAAAATAAAAATTTCTTGATTCAGGTACAGGCAGGCCCTGGGCAGAGGGAGCCACTGGCAATGGGGTGTGGCAGGTTTTCAGCAGCTCATTTTTACAGTGTAGTATACAATCTACACAACAGTGGACAGCCGTCCAAAGCTTGGTACACACATCGATTGGGTTAGAAGATGCTCCTTGGTTCCAGAAAGCACATAATTAGGAAATACTATATATTCTTGTTGGGACTGTTTTTGACATGTACTTCCACCAAGGCCACCTCAGAAATGAATCATGGAGGGAGTTAGCCTTTTCTTGTGTGAAACTTATTTCCTCAAAAGAGCTAAGGGGATAGTTAAGCCCTCTTTGTTACTGTGAGCTTGGCAGTTATGTGGACTTCAATACTGCAGGAGGAGTAGCAGTCCCTGAGTGCCAGAGATGTATTGGTTTACTCTGAAGTAGGGAACTCTTCATGGCAGGACTCAGATTGTGTATGTATATGTTTGGGAGCAAAGGGGAGGCACAAATAATTCTGGACTTGTCCCAAATGTTTGAGAATTGTCTGACTTAATTTGAATTGCTAAGTTTTGTTTTTATTTCATTGATTTTTCTGGGTGTACATGTTCTATTTCCTTTTTAAAAAAGCTTTTGTACAATAAAGGAACTTCTGGAGGCATCACCCAAGCTCTATTACAGAGCTACAGTCCTGAAAACAGCTTGATATTGACACAAAAATAGACAGGTAGACCTCAATAGAATTGAATTGAAAACCCTGGTATTAACCCACACACCTATGAACACCTGATTTTTGACAAAGAAGCTAAAATTATACAAGGAACAAAGAGAACATCTTCAACAAATGGTGCTGGCGTAACTGGATGCAGAAATGTAGAAGACTACAGATAGACCCAAGCCTATCACCATGCACAAAACTTAAGTCAAAATGGATCAACGACCTCAACATAAACCCAGCCACACTAACCCTATTAGAAGACAAAGTGGGAAATACCCTTGAATTAATTGGTACAGGAGACTCCTTCCTGAACATTACACCAGTAGCACAGACACTGAGGTCAACAGTTGATAAATGGGACCTCCTGAAACTGAGAAACTTCTGTAAGGCAAAGGACACAGTCAGCAAGACAAAATGGCAGCCCACAGACTGGGAAAAGATATTCACCAACCCCACATCTGACAGAGGACTGATTTCTAAAATATACAAAGAACTCAAGAAGCTATGCTCCAAAACACCAAACAATCCAATTAAAAAGTGGGGTACAGAACTAAATAGACAATTCTCAATAGAGGAATCTAAAATGGCTGAAAGACACATAAGAAA